AGTGCGGGCTTGGAGGAGAGAGAGCTGCACCTCAGGGAGGGCTGACCTGGAAGGGCTGCTCCCAGTCTGCGGGCACTGCTGTGGCTGTGCAGGCTGTGCTGTGCTGCTGGCCTCAGTCGTGGCGTTCTCCATAAATGACTTAAGAAAAAGAGAGGTAATCGTGTGATTACTATAGTAAAGAAAATTACCCATAATGGTTAACCACCCGGTGAAATAAATGGAACTCTGATTTTCCCATAGTAGCACACAGTATGCTGCGTTGCAGAGTAACAGGACTAGAAGTGCCCTGTATTTTCATACGGGCGCAGTGTTAAGGCTGGGAGTGTTGCAGTCTGCAGCTGAATGTGTTCTCTGCGAATGAAATGAACAGACTCTGTTTTAAATAATTAACCATCGTACTGTGTTAGATGCTGCTTCACTGACTGCACCAAAATCTACTAGTGGCAGCTCCCTTTCATTCCCACGTAGTGCAGCTCTCGGATACTGGGGCTTCTAAGCGCATCCATCATCCTGTTTTGCTGCCATATGCTGGTGGTGCCAGCCTCACTGCAGCTTAAGGGTTTAGGCCACATTCTGACTGAAAGCTTTGGAGATACCTGGTCATTGAAGCTTTAAAAAATAATAATAAATCAGCTTTTTAGATGAACTTTCTGTTCCCACTTATTTTGGATGAAGGAATAATTAAAATAGTTCTGTTTTTTTAAGAGGTTACTGAAAATCTACATTTTCTTAGTCATCTCTGAAAAATATAGTCCTTTATATTGCCATAAGCATCTGTGCTCTGATCTCTTAGAACCTTTAGTTGTATTTGAAATATATTCACTCACATTAACGTTGTTCCCCTTGGTGTTCTTCCTCTGTTATTGAAACACGCATTTGAGCAAGGGGTGTGTAGGGCTGTAAAGCAAACTTCCCATCCTGTTGCCTGAAGCACGAATGTTCCTCTTGGTTTAAAAGCAAAAAGAAATTTTACGTTTGTAAAAGCATAAGCATTTGTTTCCATTTTGTGTAATGTTCAGCACTGTTTGCTGGGAGGTGAGTCAATGACTGGAATTAATTATAATTACTGAAGAGACATATACTGATTGAGCAAATAAAGTAGTAAGCTCATTTGTGCCAAGGCCATCTAATTAAATGCTAACTTTGGATAAGCTAGATGTGCATGAAAGATTAATTTTTGGAGGTTTTTATGACTCCCACTAAATAATGATTCAGTAAAATCTCTGCATTATATCATTAGGACATCTCATCTTAAAGTGATATAACATTTAGTCACAGAACTCCATTGCACGAGAAGATGCAGTAAATTATTATTGCTGAAAATTAATCACTCTTCTGTAGGAAATGTTTATGGACTTTGTTTTAATTTTCTGCTGTGATGTGCAGCAAAGCGGCCCAGCAGCGAGAAGGGCGCAGCAGTCGGGCTTTTCTCTGGCTTCCATGACCTGCCCGCCATGCGGCGCTTCGGAAGCGCCTTGGGGATGAGTTTCCTCGTGAGGGGCGTCTCCCCGCGGGCTGCAGCGACGCCAGGTGTGGAGAGAGGTCTGTGTTTGCTCAGGGGCTGTAACCGGGAGTTTACATCTTAGAAAGACTTCCTGTGTTTGAGGAATTGATATGGTGTCTTTTTTTTCAGTGTTCTGTTTATATTTCAAGCATATTTGATTACAGAATCTGTGTGATTCTGTGATTGATTACAGAACGTTTTTTAATGCCAGAGATTTCCAAAACTGTAGGTAGCCAACGAAGGTCATTGCAGTTTTCCTGTTATAACAGTATCCACTGTTTATATAATTAAACATTACGTCTTACAAATACAAGCAGAAAACCTATTAAAATTCATTATTTGAGTTACCTATCATATTCTTCACTCTCGTGTCTGGAAACAGCAACTTGCATATGTGCTGTGATGCCACTTAGCTTCTTCTAATTAGCCCAAGAAATACCACTACCATTATCTTCTCTCAGAAGTTTATTTATTAATGACCATAATTCTCCTAAGCTTACTGTAGCTGCTGCTGCTTTCATGTTTAATTGTCAAAGTGCAAAAATATGCGTTGATCTGCTAATTAATGTTATAAAAAGAAGAAAAAATCTGTGAATGCCGAAAATGATACTTTTCAGGAATTGCAAATAATGGGCATAACTGTGTGCAGCTCATGTCCAGCAGCAGCAAGGATGGCAGTGCTGAGCCCTGGGGTTACAAGAGGTGCATGGAGAGCTCTGCAGGCAGGGAGCGAAGGGAAATGTTTGTGTGCACACTGCGTTAGCAGGAATGGGAAGTGGCACCCACACACGTTTCTCTCAGGGCTGTGTGTCCACGGGAATTGCTGTGCCACGAGGTTGCCAGTAAAACATTGCTCCTGCGTGAAGTGGTGAGCTGAAGATGTTACGGATACTGCAAGCTAGAACGGCCAGAAGGTCAGAGTGGAAGTGCTAGGTAGTCATTAGAGAATCTATTGATGAAAATAGAGAATTTTCTGTGATTTATGTATGTTTTGTGTGTATTCAGTTACTCTTCACTTCTTTAAAGGATTGATGGAATATAATGTTGCTAACAATAAAAGCTTAATGGAATCAGATTTCTGATTTCCTAGAAAATTAACAAGATATTTTGTCAATTTTATTCCAGACTTCATTTGTCAGAATATACAGTGTCCAGTGACAAGCTAAAAGAATTTCTTGACGAATTAACTGTGCCACAGGTGACAGATCAGGAAAATGTTAATTTAACGGCCCCTTTATGCTTCCCAGATTTATTGGAAGCTATTAAGGAAACTCCAAATAGTAAGGCCCTTGGCCCTGAATAGATTTTCCATTGAATTTTATACAGGATCTATTAATAAAGTTTGCTGCTGCCTTTTTGAATATAGGTAATCGCACTTCATCTTCTGGGTCTCCTCAGCCATTTACATTGGAATGCCATTTTTAGTTGGGATAAAAACGTAATTATGCATCTAGGAGTGTCTTTCATCAGGTTGTGAATGGTCCCTCCTCCAGAAGTGGCCATAAGCACAGTATAAACCCCACGCGCTGTTAGAAGTTAAATCCATTGTGACCGGATCTTTGATTCTTCAACACCGAGTCCAGCCGCCCGCTGCCCTCCGTTCAGTCCCACCGCCTGCCAAGCCGGACCTGAGCAGCGTGGCACAGGTGGTAATTGAGCTCTGTGGGACTTTCTGCACTATTGATTTTTTTCAGGATCAGGCTAAGTATGGATTTGTTCGGTCCTTTGAATAGTTACCTGGTGCTTTGGACTTCTAAGGCTATTTCAGAACAAATATAATCAATTTGTAATAAAACACATCCGTCCGTAATAGAGATTTCCTTCCAGCCCTTTGACTTACTGATTGATCAGTCCAAGACATGACCCACGTGTTTATAGGCCTTGCTAATTTTTCTTACCTAATGTGACACCGAATGTTCTCATTATTAATAGAAAGTCTAATCAGCCTCTAAATCTCAGGCTTCAGCCTCTGTAATCTTGTGGCAATTGCACTTTTAATTTATAGAAATATTCAGTGTTGGTGTTGCTCCCCGTGCTCAGAGCGATTGGAATCCCAGTTGCTATGAATTGCCCACGGTGAGTCCTTGGCGGCCAGCTGGGTGTGAGCGAGAGCCAGGCTGCTGGCGGTGGGGGGAGTGGGGAGCAGCGGGTGCTTAAAAGCTGGGGAGAGTGGGGAGCTTTGAGATGGGGAAGAACTGAAAAAAGCTCATTTTTAAAAAATAAAAAAAAGAAAAAGAAACAAAGGCAGCGCAGTGTAGGGCAAAGGAGGAGCCAGGGTGCCCAGCGGGGAAGTGTTTGGGTTGGATGTGTGCTGTGACAGCAGTGCCCGCTCTGCCCAACCTGGGGTTAATTTGATCAATTTAAGAAAATGCCGTTTGTATATAAATTGAGAAGAGCCCCCCCACACGTACACACGCGTGGGCATCTGCCGGCCTCCCCACACTTGTCCTTGTCAGGGCTGACCCAAACCTACGGTGTGACGTAGTGGCTCGGTGTCTTCCACAGCAGATGGGCAAAGCTAAAGTTTTCTTTTAAATGAGTAAACCCAATTTCTTCTGTACCTGAACCATCTGGGAGGGGGAGATTGCCGCACTACAAAAATGCTTTATTAAAATAAAACAACAATTATGTTTGAATGGATTTAATTAATACTTTTAGCTGTGCTAGTATGAATAACTCTAATCTTTAAATTCCTATTATTTCTCTAATTTACAATCACGCTGAGGGATCAAATGGTTTTTAACAATATATTGAAATTAGCACGTGGCATTTAACGCCCTGTTTTACGCTCTCATCGTAGATTTACTGTATTGGATCCTTTTATTCTGTTAGTTAATACTCCTAGTGTGTAATTCTGATGATATTTTCCTCTCCGAAGGCCTCTATGTGTGTGTAGATAGAGACGTATGGTTACACCAGGGGTGCTTTTCCAGAGGGGTGTCAGAACGTGCAATCTTTTGTCTGTTTAAAAGATTTCAACTGTAGGTGTGATCGGTTCTCTGAGCAAAGTGAGGCCAAGCATCGTTTGGTTCTTAGCCACGTGCTCGTGGTGCTTTGCAGCAGGTCTTGTGCTGCTGTCCCACCTGTGGGCACCATGCCTGCAGTGCTCCCAGCTGCTGCTCTTGGCTGCTTGTGCCTCGGAGCTGTGGGTTCACATCTCATTCATTTGTATCTGCAGACAGGCCTGTTAGTTTCTGTGGTTTTCTTTTTTCTCTTATTTCCTGTAGGAATGTGGAATCCTGCAGTGAAGTTCAGACTTCTTATAGAAATCAGCAAATCCTATAGAAATCTTTGCCGAATCCTTGATGTCGCTCCTCAGATCCATTACACAGCAGTAAATGAATTAGAACCTAAGCATTGGAACTTCTTTCGATTTTAAGTCATGGTGGGGTATTTTGATCTTATCAGTGAGGAGAACTCTATCCGTAGCAGGTTTTGCACTAGCTGTGTCATACTTTTTCTTTATACATTCTAATGAAATGTATTTTCTCAACAGGGCCATGTTGGTACCACGGCAACCAAAAAAATTGATGTCTACCTCCCACTGCATGCAAACCAAGACAAACTGCAGCCCATGACAGTTGTGACGATAGCAAATGCCAAGGTGCATGACCTGATTGGACTAATATGCTGGCAATATACAAGTGAGGGACGGGAACCAAAACTGAAGTAATGTTCTTTCTTTACTACCTCTTGATCTCTAATTTTCTCCTCTGCAGCATTTTTGCGTAACAAAATAAATTTTCATGTCAATATTCTTGTAGATAAATCTTAGAGAAACCACCTACACATTTGTATTTCCCTTTGAGAAATACACATACATCTATATCCATTTCTCTTTCAGTTAAACCACCGGGTACTGTATAGTGATAAGCGTATGAAACCACAGTGCCATAAATGAATCATAATTTCAAAATGTTCCATATAAAAGTAATATAAAACCTATCTCTTCTAGCATCATGGAGGCACGTTCTATGTCCCATCTATTTTTTAATACTGTTCTTAGTGGCTGAGATCACAAGAGTGAGAAATGGAACGTAGAACTCCTCTGTAAATCCCTCCTTTTGTTTGTTTTGAGAGAAGGTACCCACATTCTGCCTCTGTTTCCTCTCACTGAAGACTCCTCTAGATTCATAAAGAATCTTTGATAATCGTTGCTTACCGCCTTTTTGTTGCAGTAAACTCTGCCCCTAATTTTTCAGTTTGGATTTGTTGTGCTGGAGAACTAAGATTGTTGAGCAGGCTCTGTTAGCTCGTCGTGTTCGCTGGATAAGGAGTGCGTGAAGCAGGGACTGGAAAGCAAGGACAGGATAGGAAAGCAACCTCTCTTGAAAACACTTTCACTGGTATTGTTGCCTTGGATGTAGGACTTCTCTTAGCAATTCTGAGTGGACATACGGGGTGTTTTGGAGGTTAAGCTCTTCGGTTTGGTCTCTCTTTTTTTTTTTTAATGGAGAAGAAATATACAATTATTTGCAGATGGTGCTATTTCATTTGCTGTTAATAATTTCTGTTCATTATATCATAAATTCAGTAGTGTCCCGTGTGTATGATTAGTTTATTTTTTAATTACTAAGATGCTGCTAATATCAATCGTTGGACACACACGTGTTTTTCAGGAGCACAGCATACTTGAAGTGGAACAATGCCAGTGAGTGGTATTACATGAAACGTAATTGCCCCCAGCAAAAGTCAGCAATGGGAGGAAATGGATTTCACTGTCTGCCTTGAAGGATAAGGTGTTATGATGTGTCAGAGAGTGGTCATCATCGAGAAGGCTGTCTGATGTAATCGAATCTCAGGATGGAAAGAATAAAATAAAATAACAGTCAGGAGTTCCTCAAGACAGTCCAGCAGCAGTAATTGAGAATCTGGATACAAATGTTCAGAGACGGGTAGAGACTCAAGTTTCCAAGAAGCTTTTCTTATGTAGCTGTTAATTATTTCTTGTCTTCATCATTTTTTCCATCTTTGGTTTGTTTGTTGAGCATTTTTGACTGCCCTGTCTTTTAGCAAGGATTGATTTGACTTTAGATGAATTCTCATCAGAATAAGTAGACCTCAAAGTTGTGATTCAATCTGTGTTAATTTTCAGGAATGCACTCCATATTTGAAGGCATCTGTGACCCCCTAAATTTATGAGATGTAACAGACATTATATATTTTCAGTATAATTGGTGGAAGATAAGTTGGTTTCACCACCACCTTTTTTGGCACTTGGATCACTTTGAGGCCACAGTGAGCATCGTTTGCTGCCTGCATGGCTGTATGTTTTGGATTTAATGAGAATTATGCAAATGGGTCAAGTACCAAATGAAAATGTTAGCTTGATTTATACAGAGCTTTAAGTGCACACCAGGATGCACAGAAAAGAATTCTGTCAAGCAAACAGGTTAGGAAATCAGCAGTGTAAGGCCCAGCTCACAGCTGTGGGAAGGCAGGCAGCAGGGGGCTGTTCAGGCTGGGTCTCATAGCTTCAAAGGTGTGTTGGACTGGATGGAACAAGCATGTGGGGTTTGTAGAAATCCAAGTAGAACCAGAGAAGGACCTGAAAATCACACCAGGTGCTTCTCACAGCATAGGCAGGATCAGCTGCATCTGTTACTCACAACCTCTTCCGCTTCCTCTTGTTCCTGAAAAGACTTAGAGCAGTGAGAAGCATGGCATCTCCCACCTGGGTATGCTTCCTCTGTTTGTTGCAGTCCTACCTCTGTATGAATTCTGTCACCAGTGCCAACTTTCATCAGTTTACAAGGAGTCATTTAAGTGCTCTTGAAGTTAAAGATTAGTTCTGCAGCAGCGTTCGTTCTTCAGAGCAGTCCAGAGACTCACGAAAGTTTTTTTAATAGAATTGCACGACTTCCAAAATTCAAAGTGACAAACGTTGCTGGGTTACCTTTCTGTAAGCAGAAGTACAGCACACATTATCGTAACGCATCATTGGTACCTGTTTTATGTAATGAATATCTTAGTCGTGACAAAGTGCTGATAGATCACCTGGACTGAGCACTCTCAATAAAGCACAGTTGCAACCAAAGGTTTGTGAATTAATTGAGAAAATTGCAAATCAGGTAGTCAGCGAAATAATTCATTGTCACATCCAATCAATAAACTTTGTAAATCAACTCATTTAATTCAAAAAATGATCTATATAGATCAAGCGACCAATTAAACAATTAGCATACACTTTGCAATTAATTAATGTAAGCATCAATCATGCAATTAAAACTCCAGATTTAAACTGTGGAGTTTAGAAACATATTGCCACGTGAACATTCACTACTTTAATGCTATGCAAAATGCCTGAATGCTGGCAGATTTGTAAGAGAATACTTACCTTCAACTCACATTTAAATACTAACTTTTGAGATGGTGTTAATCAGATGTTCCTAGTAATAAATCTATATTTTGTGTACGTACTTTGTTATTTTCCTGTAGAATTCAGTGTGTGGAAAGGAAAGAGGCTTATATTTTCCTTTATTTTTTCCTCATCATGCTTCAGTTTAAAACTGGCAGTGTTACTGGGCTCTTGCTTGTTGGTTTGTACTGATTTGTAACTGCCCTTAGTGACTGGGAGCTGTAGATATCTGGAAATGGCAGCTTTTCTACTATTGCTGTTACTGTGTTGAACAGGGTTCTACTTTTTCCTGCAGTTTGTTTCCTAGCTTTTGTTACTGCACTGCTCGCCATCTGGAGAGTGCCCCCTACTTTTCCAGGGCATGTTCAATAATTCTTTTTGCGGTTGCTTGATATGAGTGAGATAGGGGGACACTGCTTGTCTTTAATTCTAATGTTTAACAGCCATATAAATAAGTATGTTTTCACAAGTGGGGAAGCTCCAGCTTTGTGAAGTCATGAAACACTTCCTGACCTTAGTGGAGTTCAGTCCCTGTTGCTCCTGCTTGCAGTTCTATCACTGATGAAGTGAGACTTGCTGCCTTACTCTGCAGTACCAAAATACCTTGGGGCATATGTACCTATGTGCTGTCAGTGGCTTTTAAGGATATTCCTTCTGTGTGAAGCGTGTGTGCTCACTAGATCGACTGACATTGATCTGCTGAACTGAACTGGTTGTGTAGCTTCCCTCCCAAACGGACCCATTTTATGCTTTGTTTCAGCGAGAACGTCAGTGCCTACTGCCTCCATATCGCTGAGGATGATGGTGAGGTTGACACAGATTTCCCCCCCTTGGATTCCAACGAGCCCATTCACAAGTTTGGCTTCAGCACTCTGGCGTTGGTTGAAAAGTACTCCTCTCCTGGCCTGGCAGCAAAACAGTCGCTCTTTGTCCGAATGTGAGTATGGGCGCGAACCCTGCCGCCGCCTCCACGTCCTTTCTCTTCCCTATTTTCCTTCGTCTGAACGTAGCAGGACTCAGCTGCCGTGTCTCTGCGGCCCTCTGGAGGCGTGCTGCAGAGGGCGGGCGGGAAAGCGGGGCAGGCAGCACCGAGGGTGAGCCTGTGGTGGTGGGCTGAGAGCGCGGGGCTGGGTGAGCCGCTCTGTGTGTGGTCAGTGTGGGAAACGGGCAACCATTGCACTCTGTTCTTAAGCTCAGGTGGCCGTAGTTATTTCACCAGATCGCTGATAACATCGGCCACGTCTTCAGTGGAAAAGTTTGTAATGCTGGTATCTCTTGAAATGAAAATGTTTCTTAGAGACATTCAAATGAAAAGAAATCTGCAGAAATTGCAGACGTATCTCCCTAATGCTCATTCACTTCCACTAAGTGCTAGTGCGCTTCCACTGCTCTGTGTCACTGGAGAAGAAAATGTTCTGTCCACAGTATTTACAAATAGTTCATTCAAGGTGAACGTATTTAGCCCAGCTGAACTGGATGCAGCAGTGTGGAGGCTGATGCAAGGAGGAGCTGGAGCAGTCTTGACACTCACATTGCAGGTCCTCCTTCAGTTTGTGCGGGCAATGGCTCCTCTGTCTGTGGAACTGCAGGGTTTAATTTCTTCCACCTGACTGAGGAATGCTGGATGTTTTATTGGAAAGAGGGAATCTCTCTTTCTGCATGCCTTTCTCCAGAGTCAATGCTACTGCCGTGAATTTGATTGCTATTGATTTTTTTCTGACAAGTCATCCTTTAAGTAATATTTTTATTTGCTGTTTTGCGAAGTACTGTAGTGAAATACAAAGAGTTGTTTGCTGATTTTAACAAGAGGTTTTTCAGTTCCCTTTTTAATATTTACAGGTCTTTTGTAAGCAGGCGCAAAACTGCACAAATGTGCTTCTCCCTTTTCCTTTATGCACAAATGTGTCTGCTGCCTCTTAACCTCCAGTATTGTGCAGCTGTTACAAAAACAGCACAGCAGATTAAGAGGTGCTTATTGGGTAGTTCCAGAAAAATGCGTGGGACTGACCTGCAGCAGCTGCACAACAGAAGCAGCCCTAGGCTGAACGGTACTGGTTGTGGCAGAGCAGTGGGAAATTCTCAGAGGCTCAGAGTGTCCTAAGGAGCTCATCAGGAGAGGGCAGCGTTATTTCTGCCTATAGCAGAGCTCCAGGGTTTGGTATTCTCAGAAAAATCAAATCTTGCGGGGCTTTTAAAACTCTCATGAGTTACATCTATAGTGCTTTGAAATGTGGTGTAACTCCAACCTGTGAAATGTGCGAACGCTGAAGCAAAGAAAAAGAAAATTTAATATGAATATGCCTTGTTTAGTGGACTATTTGCCTGAGAGTTAGAAAATAACCCTTTTCTTTCCTCAGACTGTTTTTATTTCACATCCTTTCCTTGCTGATAGAGGGGCAGGGCAGTCAGTTTGCATAAGGATCCAGTTCTCTGAGTGGTGCTGGTGGCAGGGCTAAGGTCCATCTACAGAGCTTGCAAAAGAAATCTTTGACATGATGTATGCTCTCATGAGTCCCCAGTGCTCTGGCTTGGAATGTCCTACAGATTAGAAATAGCTTACCTGCATCATAAGTAGAGGTACTTTTCTAAGAGATTTTTGGTGCCCACGTGTTAACTCAGAATTGCTTGTACTCATGTACGTAGTTAACAGTCAGAATAACGTTAGAATTTTTAGTGTGTCTCCTAGAATAGAGAACTACTTGATCATCACTTGATCAAAATATTGTTACTATTGCGTGTTTAAATGTACAGACCATCTCATTGTTACAGGGATTTAAATTCTACATCTTCCTGCTTTCCTTCTCTTTCATCAAACCAGTGTGTGTAGTTATGTTTTCGTATTTTGCATCTTTTTTTTCCTTCCCTATTCTAAAGTGTTTCAGCTGCTGCTGTGTCAGGCATATGACTTGTAATGTTTATTAATATTGAATTGCTGCTGCAAAAACTTGATGCCTCTGAGAAGCTTCCTAATGAAGCACGGTGTTTTATTTCAGATCTCACCCATCCTGCATGTTGGATATATTCTCAGATGTTGTGCAGTCACTGAGCTGACAGTTATGGAACCTCACCAGGAACTTCGTTTCAGCAGGACATATTTGAGCAGAAACAGTTTGCAGAACTTTATACACTTAGACTCCTGCCAAGGCAAACTCGTAGTCACTTGAGTTAGTTATAAATACCCAGTATCAGTGGTTGAAAGTAGCCCCAGTGCATTTTATATTCTGAGCTGAATGTGAATGTCTTTGTGGTTGTATAGAGTAGTAAATAATTGAGTTTGATTAGGGAGAGGGACCTCATTATCCCCCCACCTGTGCCCAGCTGGTAGGGGAGGGTCGAAATGAAGCCATTAGCTGTCTCTCTTACTGGCATCTCAAAGAGCTCAAATACATCTGTGTCTTATTTTCTTTTCTGGCACAATCAGTCGAGCAAGCTAAGCAGGCATGACCGAATTTGGCAAGTTCCAAGGACTCTGGCAAAGTTACACAAGGAGAAGACGGAGGGCAGTCATTCTGGCTCCTAACTGCCCATTAGTCTAGCGAGTTATGCTTTTGGAAAATGTCTGTTGTGGGAAGGAGTACTTTGTCCAATGTCAAACATGGCATTCTCAAACAATCCTCTTTGATGTCGAATATGATTTGTCAGAAGGAGTCAAACAAAGCACCACATTCATGTAAATGCAGACTCCTTGAGATGATGAAGTAATACCTGAAAGACTTTGAACGAAGGTAGCTTAAAATAAATCTGTACTACCATTTAGGGCTTTTTCCTTGGAAATTTTATTATCACGACTTGACATACAATATCTAATGGTGTTTCTAGGAGTTGTAACTCAGCTGCCAGTTGGCACATAGATGGAATTTGGCATGCGGTTCCTCTGCTCCGCAGTGCCTTTTTCTGTTTTAATGGTATGTTTAAATTGCTTTGACTATTTTATATATTTTTTTCAAAGCAGTACCACTGTTATACCTGATAGATTAGGGTTTGAAACATTTTAAAAATACCAGGCTTTCACATGGGTGGTATAGATAGTTAGCAAAATGTATTTTAGAATATCCATAAGATGCTAATTAAAGAAAGTTAACATAGGTGTGAAGAGGGTGAGGCTCCAGGAGAGCAAATGGGAAGGGTTGGCTTTCCCCAAGGAAGGCACTGGAGGAAGCTGACGAGTCTTATGTTAGCCCATAGTAGTGTCAGAATGCGGCCACTTAAACTCAGAAGCATGTGGTTATGCAAGGCTATCCTTAGATCCACAACAGCAAAGTCGTTCAGGCTCATAGTTAAACCTGTGGCTGGCATGGTCGTTCTGGTTCATCATTATGTACTTCATCTTCAAAATTTCCCAGCTTAAGTTAAGCACATTACATCAGCTGGTAGTTTTAGACTTGACTTGGACTCTATGTTGCTCAAGTTGAGATCATTATTCCTGGACACTTTCCGCCATGCCAAACATGCAAGCTTCAAGTGCTCTAAATTCTGATTCAGAATTTTAAAGGAAAAAAAAAAAAACGAATTGGAAAGACAGCTTTTGGAGAAGTTTGCTTCTCATTCAGACCAGAAGCCTTTCATCTTCAAAAAGGTGTTTCTTTCTTTTTTTGCACCATCCAGACCCACGGAGAGGCTGCTGCTGGTGCCGAGCTGCCGCCTCCCCCAGCAGCGCCTGCTGCAGCCATCGCCTCTCCTGTTGTTTTCTTTTTCCTCTCCTGAACCTTGCCACCCTGGCTCCAGCTCTCAGGCTGTAAAAGAAGATGGAAAGCCAAGTTACCGCAGAATGATCACTATCATTAACATTCACGGGTGGTTCACTTATCATTCCTGACTGCACAGACATGGCAGCCGTTATGAAACGTCCACAGGTGTAGCACGATGATACATATTACATTGTGCCACAATGGATTTATGTATTCTGTAACAAAAGAAAAGTGTAATGAAAAAATACAGAAGGTAATCCTTTATTCCCCCACTGCACAATTTATCAGTAATGCCTGTGGATGATAAGTGCCAGGGATTTCCTTTGCTTGATTTAACCTTGTCACCCAGGTATGTTTGTGCAAAATGACAGAAAATGCAAGCTAAGGAGTCTCTTTGGTTTCTAATTTGTACGGAGCAATTTTAATTGGTAGAATGGCATCTGCTTTTCTGCTCTGCTTCCAAGCGAGTGGTGTTGAGCAGAATAAGATACAACATATATAATTTATAATGTTAATTAAGAAAATGCTGGAGTTAGGTTGGGTGAGGACAGTCTGTGCACACTGTTGTTGCAGAACAGGACAAGGCTGGCATGGTGCACAAGGACATGTTTGCTCCAGACAGGCACGTTGCCGTGGGCTGCTGATGTTCCAGAGCAGAGGGGCTGTGGGGCTGCAGCATTCTGACCCAGAGGTGCTGAGCAGCCGTCAGCCCCAGGCTGTGCCGTTAGAGGAAGGAGTGCGGCCTGCTTGCTGAACAGGAGTGAAAGAAGGGAGGAACGGTGGTCTGAATTCTGCCTGGCAATTCTAACACCGCTGGCAGTGCTCCAGAGCAAATATCCAAAAGTTTACGAATGTGGAGTGCGCTTTACATTTCATTGCTCTTGCCAAAGTCTCACTTACTGGATAGCACACTAAATATAGTAAAACACGGAGGTTTTTCTTATTTTGCTTTGATCGGTAAAATAAACTTTTAAAGATCATTCTGGGATGAGATCCAGCTTCTGAGGCAAAGAATGGCTGGGGCTCAGGCATGATTTAGTAATAGAGTGTCAGGAAAATCAGGCTGACAGTTCTCAGGCCAGCTGCTCAATAAAAAGAATCGACCGAGTCGGGATGCACTGAAATGTGCCTGTGGTCTTTAACAGATCAAATGTCAGGAGCTGAAAGACAGTTCTCCATTTCTGGGAGGTTCCAGATCTGTCTCGGTGTACAGCCTGAAGTGATCCAGCGGTGCTTCAGCGCGCCGGAACCAGGTGGATCTGTGGCATGAGAGCTCACCCAGCTGCTAGTGAGAAACCTCAGTGCAAAAGCATTTCCTACTGAAGGAAAAAAAGAAAAAAATAGGACTTGCTTCTTCTGGAAGGCATCTTTTGCCTTTGTTCTTTTTTTTCTGTGGTATTTTGGTTTGTTTTCCTGCATTTTGGTTGCAGTGCTCTGGAAACCTTGTGGTGCTGCAAGGCATCCTATGAGTGCCTTTCTCTCTGTGTGCCTTTGGGTGCTTCCAGGGCTCGGAGATACACATTGTCTCATCTAAATAAAAGGGAAAGAGTAGTTTCCTTATTGTAAGGACAGTGTGGTTCTATGGAAGATTTCCATGTTAAACAACCCACTGAACTCAGCCCAGCCGTTGGCGCGGTGAGGCTGTGGGCTGGGGCACCAAGTGCCGGCGGTCAGGAGGCATTCGGAGCGGCCCAGCTCACAGGCACCTGACGGTTCACAGTACCAGGCTGAGGACAGATTTGCTTATCAACAAAGAGAAGTTGGGAAGGTCTCTGCTTACTGTATGGCATCAGCCAGAGCCGCTGAACCTTGGGGCTCGAGGGCTGAACTGTCACAGCTGTGGGAATGGATGGTACTCTCATGCAGAACGGTGTGCTCGTCACTGTGCTAAAAAACATGTGGCTGAAGTAGTGGGGAAGGAAGGAGGTGTGTGAAAAGATTGGGTATGCTTGGTTTGAAGATGTGTAAGAGTTATAAATGGTCCAGAGAACGCCCACTTGGAGCTTTTAGGCAGTTTCATTTTTCTGGGAACAAAGAGAATTGGGAGTGAAATTCCGGTGAGATGGGGAGCTCCCAGCAGGCCCAACGCTGACCAGGGCTCCGTATTGCAGTGGTGGCAAAGGCACAGCGAGGAGTCGGGCTTTTGCTGCGGGATGAGGCCTCCCATGCAGAGGCTGGCCCATAGCCGCCCTGTTGTGCTGTGCTGGGGCTGGGTGCAGGGGGACGCTGTGCTCGCAGTTCTGGCGCCTGTAAGGGCAGAGGAGCAGCGCGTGCACAGACAGCTGACGGGGGGCTGGAATGGGTGCGGGCTGGGGGCTGTCGCTGCCCACCCTGGCCGTGTCTCAGCATGAACTGGGGGCTGCGTCTGGAGCAATTGGAGCTGAAACTCGTGTTCCCCACGTTTGTGTCTGAAAGTGACATTTAGTGTGCTCTTGTTTTTAATGATGCGATTGTATTGCTTGGATTGCTTTTCACTGCCAGTTGCTTTTAAAATACTCCAGCTGTGATGCACACAGAGAGCTCCGCTCCCTGATTAGAATTCTCAGTTGCCAGATAAAATGTTCCTCCTCCTGTCTAAATAGCTTTGCAAAACAATTTTTTCTGTGCAGCGCAGATCTTTCCCTGTGGGTGTCTAGCAGCTCTCAAATTTCCGTGCTAACTGTCTGCAGTGACATCTACTGACATGAGCAGAGATTGACTGCAAGGTCTAAGGGGCAAAACCCGCTGATATATTAATCCAGTAGCTCTTCTATTATATTGTCATCTTCTCTGCTTCCCCAGTGATGCCACTTTCAATATCTGCCAGTTGGTATCTTCCATAGCCACCCGCGTGCTGCTTTGCACCTCTCCGGGTGTGGAGCAGGGGTGAGCGCCCTGCTGGCAGAGACCTTTCCCCCAGGTTTTGTGCCACAATGGCTACATAAACGTGTCAAACAGTTGCATGTAAAACAATGCGATACACTAACATTGCTGAGAAGCTGCTGTTCCTTCTCTGAGTGCTGTTCTTCCACTTCTCCTTAATGATTTGCTACATCTGCCATTGGGGCGCATATGAAGATGACATTGCAAACTGTTTCTCTGGTATGCACTGCAAAACAGCTAGGAGATAATAACGAGTACTGGAGGAGCTCCGTGTGTGCATTTGCTCATTTTTCTTTTTTAATGATGAACACAAATTGATCAAAAATAAAGATAAATTAGGAAAATCCTTGCACGCCTTGAATCTTAATCCATTTTCTCCTTTTCTGTCTCTGCCTTTCAAAGGAAGTTTTCTGGGTTTCTCCTTTTAACTTCTCTTTTAGAACACGACTTTCTTCTCTGCTTTTCCTAAGAAGTACTTTCCTTGAAAGAAACAAAAATTGCACTGAGCTGCTTGATGATGATTCTTTTGTAAAAATGTATGTGCCTCTGTCTTGCAGAAATGCTGCTCATGGATTCTCACTTATTCAGGTGGACAGTATGAAGGTCACCATGAAAGATATCTTGCAAAAGGCCTTAAAGAGAAGGAAAGGATCGCAGAGAGGCTCAGGTGGGTCATTTGTTGCATTTTTTAGAGGAAAGTATGCTTTTTCCTGAGGTTATTTCATATCACTTTTTAGCTGTTGTGAAAAATGCACCATTTTTTCAGTGGACATTGTGATTTGCAGCACCACTCTGAAGCTGTTCTGTGCACAGGTCTGTCTTCTGGATGCTGCCAGAGGCAGACAGCGGAGGAAGTGCCTAATGTTTGCTGCAAGGCAGTGTATCCATTACTGCAAGTATTTCTTTATGGTAACAAAGCCGTTTGTGTTCAAGTCCAGCCAGTGGTAGCTTGAGATGATGGGAGGCATTACGGTAAGGCCAGTCCTTGGTAGAATTGCTACACTTCTAATTTATGTGAGGAACTGATACCTGATAGGAGGTTAGAGTGTTTAAATAAGTAGTTGTTGCATTTAGAGAAAAAGTGACTTTCTGCAGTGTTGTCAAAATAGTGCTATCATGGTTAGGACATATCGACATTTAAAATAGGAAAATTGACAGTTTATGTTTTACAGCAGTGCTTTTCCCATATATAAACATATATTTCAGAAGTAGAAGGCTGAGAAATCTATCCAGCAACAAGGAATAATTGCTGTGAGAAATTGCACTGAGCTTTGTCATGCAACAAAGGAACTTTAATATAAACCTATCTGTGTACCAGGTAAAGATACAGATCTTGTCTTTGTAAATGAGTGAAGCCTCCTTGTGCACCCTTAGTTTTAGCTGCGTGAGAAGAAAATCAACCCTGTTCTGTTTGGAAGTGGTAGTTTGGTGCAGTTTTTGAAGGAGCATATAATCTGTCACGGATTTAATTAGCTATCTTCAGATGAAAGCTGAAGTTTTAATAAAAGTTAGAAGAGATAACACAGTGAAGGACACGGATGAGCTGTCTCAAGGCCATATTCCAAGGGAACGATAAGAGCTGTAAAAAATGGCAGAGGAGAGCAATTGAATGAAGCAATGAAAATCTGATTCTCGTAAAAAGAAGGCAGAGCAGCGCTGTGCTGCTGCTGCTGGCGGGGCTGAGCTGTGCGGCTGTGAGCTCTGGCTGCCGGCCAGGAGCCATTGTTCACCGCGGCTGCGGCGGCTCCGTCCAGATGTGCCAACTGCACGTCCCGCTCTTGCCAGCTGACTGCGCCGTTTGATAACCGGCTCTCTGGATGCCCATCACTGGCCGCAGAGATAGAATTAAATGATGATGATCTTCCCACAAGTTGGGAGAGGAAACAATGCATATAAATCTTGATTTCATCTCAGCGTGAGAAGTCTTTATCCATCATCACTCATAATGAACAAGTCGTTAGCTGCGATGAATGGTGTTCTGTTTTTTTCAAACACCTCTTTTGTTCACTTTTTGGTTGACTTTTATTTATTTCTTGGGGTCAGATTTCTCTTCCCCGAAGGGAGATGTCTGGAGGATTCACTTAGCTCAGTATTTAAACTACTTTCCCCCTTCGAGTAACAGATGTTATTCCTTGTCCATTTGAAATTTCTTTTTGCTGTTATTCTGTTATGTTGTTTAGTCGTTTAGAAAAGGCATGGAACTGTCATTTATGCCTTCAGCTAATATATAAACTGCTTTTGTGGCACTTTTGTCAGAAACCCTTTGTTGTAAAGGGACTTACTGGCATAAATGTCATTTCTCTCCTTCTCTCTTTCTCTCTTATTTTCTTTTTTTTTTTTTTTTTTGAGGGAATAATATAAGAGGTAATTTAAATCTTGTTTCTATAAATAACTTATCCACTTGACTTTTCACTTCTTTGAAACATGACCATCATCTTTGCTGGATGTAAATCACAGCAGAATCCACAGCTGAACATCTTTTGATCACTTCCACGTGTGTTTACTTGTGAACTCTCACTTTGTTGAGAGCAGCAGTGTTGTTGCAGGTTGTGCTTTGAGCTCGTGGCCAGAGCTGCAGCTGTCAGCTCCGTGAGCTGCAGTCACTGCTGGGCACACGGTGGCTGTGGGAGAGTTGTGCTCGAGTTCCCGTGTTCCTGAGCCTCGTAAAGCAAATGCTGTTTGTTTTGTATTTTTTACGTATTGGTGAGCACTTGTAAGGCAGTGCTGACGCTGTTGTGTGACTGTGCCGTGTGGGTGATACCTCCCAGACTAGGTATTGATGTATTAAATTGGTCAATCATAACTTAAACTTTTTTATTAAAAACTTCCCTTATCCAAAAATTCCCTCATTCCCCGTTACTGCAATTCATCATTCAGCTGATTTTAATTTATTTTTTTGGTCTCGCCTGTCATTTTGTAAAACAGCAGAAATTGCAGCTGTCTGCACAGAGGGTCCACTTGCTTGCACTGCCCTCTGGACCTGGAACAAGCCTTTCTCCATCCCCTTCTGCTGCTGGTAGCAGAACGGGATAGAAATGCCATCTAGATTAAAGGGCTGTTACACCTGCGGGTGCACACACTGCAGCAAGCACAGAAGGATTTTCGTCACCACTCCTCAAGTAGCAGCAAATTCTTCATTTTGGGAGTGAGTGTACCTCTAACTTTCACTGGGAGATATGCAGATGAATGGAATTTGAGATCAGACTATTAGCAGAGTAAGGTCCCCTGCCTTTGTCTTTAAAGTAATTATTAAGCAGTGGATTAGTATGTTAGAGTTCTGAATAAAAGATGACATAATTTACGAAAAGTATTTCTCCTCATTCAGCAACACTTTTTTGTAAGCTGACTGCTCTGATTCTTAGAGCTACTAACCAAATTATGAACCGTGCATACGAACTTTTCTTCATATTCACTGTGCTTGCAGGTCGGTCTTCACAGGACAAATGAATCTGTGGTGCTTACAGCTTTGTAAATTGGTCCTACATTTATAGGAAATGTGGAAACCTCTGTTGGCTGTTCTGGGAGGAGGAGAGCTTAGATATTAGACTAGCTTTCCTGGCTATTTATTCAGCTAGAAACCTGTAGCTTGCAGGAAAGCCTTTCAACAAGCAATTGTGTTGCATGATCCTGAAAATCCCCAAGTCCTCACCTCTGCCAGCCCATAACCTCCTGAGCTTCTCGATTTCGCTTCTTTCTTTAAAAATGCCATTGCTGTCCTTGCAGCGACCAACCTTTGCTTGTGGAGCACGAGGCTGTTAATGACAGGACTGTCCTGACGAATGCGGTGCAGAGCCCCGGTTGCTGTTTTGTTTCAGTACGTGCACTGGCATTCGTGTAATTGCATGGTGGACTATGGCTGTAAAAGTAATATTAATGCATTTGTTTCAAAATTCTATTTCTTGAGAAGACCAAGGCTGAATAAGACTTCTGATTGCAATCTAACTGCAAACCAAAGATGATTTGCTACAGGAATATATAGGTCAATAGGTGAGGACAGAAGTGGGCCGCGACCTTTCATTCATAGAAAGTGCAATGAAAGAAATGGAAAAAGTGTATCTGTTGTGTCCAGCTCTATTTAGATATTATGTTTGACAAAGTTAGACAAAATTTCTGCAAGGAATTGAAAGTATTTTATATTCTTTGCAGTTACCCTTTCCTGATATTGCAATGCTTTACATTGAATGTATGATCTCTGATAATTTTTAACTAATCAATTTTGTGCAAATCCACAGGAAGTGCAGGTGGAAAATCACCTGTTTGTGTCATGGCTGAGAGTAGCAGACCCCTGAAGTCCTTTCACAGAGCACGTGGTTGTACAGGAGCAGTGTATCAGGGGCCTCATGACCCATCCCCCAAGAAATACCAGTAGGGGGTTAATGGGAACGCTGTATCCTTGTCACATGCCCAAATAACAAACGGGAAGAAGTTTATGTGAATGGTGGCAAGGAAGGGAAAAGCCTGTAACAAACAGTCAATGCTGCGTACTGGAGAAGATAAATCTGCAGAGGAAATTGTTGAGGCAGATGTTTAATTAGTTGGAGTCAGGCTGGATAAATCAGGGTAGGAGCTGTCTGTGCAGGTATGCCGGTTTGCCTGCCTTCTCTATGGGCTGCTTTCATTGTTTTTAAAGCTAACTGTTCTTCTTGCTTAGCAAAGAAGCAGCAAAAACAGCCATATAAGCTCTCTCTTATTGTAATGGATTCCCTTGTGTACACTCATAAAATAGAAAATGTAATTGATGTTTTCCTATGGTAATGAAAAATAACTAAGTAGAATTCTTTATCATCAGTTTGTTTAACCTATTGCATGCTCAGCAGCATGTACTGCAAATGCATATTTTACACAAGAGCTGGAAATAAAACAGTCTCGCCTGTGGAATGAGCTCCCAGAGGAGATCCTGCCATGGACCAGCTTGAGGGAGCTCCATAGAGTCTTTCATACAAGAGCTTTGTGAAAATAGCCAGAATGGGAGAGTAAGAGAGGAGAGCTGGGCTGGGTGCTGCCCTGACTGCGGCAGGGAGGGGGAAAAGCTGAAATCCCCGCACGGCTCCTCAGGGCCTCGCGTGGGCCTCACTGTGTGGCTGGACTGAGGTGCTTGAACAGGGCTCTGAAGAGCACCCAGATGTGCACAGGTAATTTAAGGATGGCTTTGTATCAGCTTGCTATGTCTAGGGATCTTGGAAAATATTACTGAACATTGTGAGCACTCTAGCAGCTGAAAGTTTAAGGATAAAGTTGGTCTGAAATGCAGGCCCTGCTGTGAACTGTGGAGTACTGATGTCAGTGCAACTGCTGGTTCGCTCCACAGCTGAAACATTGCTGTACACAGTCAATCCTGAGAGTATTTCTACTGATCTTGCTTTTGCACACTTACTGGTCTTACTTTTAATGTACTTACACGTTAGCCGCTCGTCAGCTCGCAGTAAGAATTCCGTTAGGGCAGAGGTACTCATTAAAGCCCGCTTGTTAGGAGGGCTCTCGTACAGAACAAGGGAGGCACGGTTGTTCCAAGGTGGGGTGCAGAGCCCCCCGTGTGCAGTGAGCACAGCACAGCGCTGGCTCCGACTGCTCCCCTCAAAGTGCAGTAGGCAGGTAGGTCCTATCAGGCTTCTGGTATCTGCACTAAAACCCACGTTCAGTGGTTTCTCTAAGGTGTGTTTGTGCGGC